TGCAGGAGGCCCTCCAGGCCTGGAGCTGCCCACCCCTGGTTTAGAATGTGAAAAAACGCGTAAAAAGTCAAAACGGTGTGAATACTTTTGTGCAGTCGGACGTTTTTGGACTCACTGTTTGAACTTCTGCAGCAGACTTTGATCTGGTGTCCCCAACACGTTGTGGATCTTGGCCACCTGGTCCAACTCGTTGGCTCCAGGGAAGAGAGGGCTCAGGCTGGAACACACACACACTGGGTCACGCCCGTCCCGCCAGAGGACCCCGGGGACAGGCGGACACGTCTCCTCACCTCAGGATCTCAAAGAAGACGCAGCCGGCGCTCCAGACGTCCATCTTCTGGGTGTAGTAGCCGTCAGTCAGGAGGCACTCCGGCGCCCGGTACCAACGCGTGGAGATGTACTCGGTGTGCGGCGGCTTGGAGTACACACTGCGACACGAGCCGAAGTCGCCCAACTTCAAAACGTTTTGCTGCAACTCACAAGTAAATCAGTGACAACATGTTTCCTGAAATTTGACTCTTTTGTTTTGACACACCTGTGTTGAAATATTGGGGTCATTTAAGGAGTTTTTACAGATACGCTGAAAAACAAAACGCTGCAGTGAGTTGGTCCAAAGGTTTCTGTGGGAGGAGGGGACCTCCTCCTCATCTTCAGCTATGGATGGATGGATGGATGGATGGGTGGATGGGTGGATGGATGGATGGATGGAGGGATGGATGGAGGGATGGATGGATGGATGGAGGGATGGATGGATGGAGGGATGGATGGATGGTTGGAGGGATGGATGGATGGGTGGATGGATGGATGGTTGGATGGTTGGATGGATGGAGGGAGGGATGGATGGATGGATGGATGGAGGGATGGATGGATGGAGGGATGGATGGATGGTTGGAGGGATGGATGGATGGGTGGATGGATGGATGGATGGAGGGATGGATGGATGGATGGAGGGATGGATGGATGGATGGATGGATGGGTGTTGCAGCGGTTTTGTTTACGTTTCATGACAGTTGAATTGTCTTTAAATTGTTTTACTCCATAAAGCTGTTGGGTGTCTGAACCTTTCTGTAAACTTCAGTGATTTTACCTTGATGAGAATATTTTCAGGTTTTACATCTCGATGGAAGATCCCACACCTGTTAAAAAACAAAAACAAAATCTCAGGTATAAATTCTGATTATTTTCAGTCTAATCAGACTTTGATTATTTTCAGTCTAATCAGACTTTGATTATTTTCAGTCTGATCAGACTGGTGTTTTGTGCTGCACCTGTGCATGTGCTCCAGGGACCTGCACAGCTGGTACATGTAGCTCTTCACTGTCTGGTCAGGCAGAGGCGTCCTCCTTCCTGCAGAGCCACAAACCTCCTCTGAGCACTTCCAGCTCCAGTGAGGACAGAGAGCGTCTTCCTGAGTCGTCCTACCTTGTATGAGCTCATAGATGTTCATCTCCATCAGTTCGCATATCAGAGAGACCGTTCCTGTTCCCTTGTCACTGAAACATTGGGTTAAATTAATACGGCCCACATGGCAGGTGAATATGTGGCTGTGAGCAGGACTCACTATATCAGCTCATGCAGCTGGATGATGTTGGCGTGAGGGCTGAGCCGCTTCATTGCCTGGACTTCCCGCAGGTTGTTGGCCTTTTCCAGACTTCAAATCAAATGATGTTAGTATTAGTGAAACAGATAACTGAATATTTAAATTATATTGAACACATAATTTCACATGAGGATACAACAACCTACATTGGAACAGATATTTTGCTTGCTTGTTTAAAAATAACACTGAAAAATTAGTTTTTAATCTTTTTTTTTAACTAAAATGACCAATTAGATTAATTTGTTTGGTGTCAAATCACAGCCTACATATTTTGAACCATAGAAATCCTACATACTGTTCCTGATGGGCATTTTTAATAGACGGCCACCATTGTTGTAATGGAGAATATGTGTTTACACAGCTAACCAGAAGGTTAGATTCACTAACCACCAGCCTGCTGAACAAGAATCTTGGCTCCGCTAAAGCTAAACTGCTAGCTGCCAGATGAATACAAAATAAGTGACAGGTATCGCTAAACACATTAAAAAAATAGTGAAAGCCAATACCAAAAAGTTAAATTATTATTTTTGAAAATGAGTGGAAGCTAACACTAAACTGCTACCTGTATAAAAAAACTAGCATAAGCTAATGCTAAACATATTTTAAAAAATTAGCGGAAGATAACGGTGACCAATAAGATGGAGGCTAATGAGATGAAAAACATGCGACCTAAGGGGTGAACATACAAACATTTATGCTAATGTCCACACTTAAAAGATATTTGCAGTAATATTTTGCACTATATTAAATTATATAAAACATTCTTCAACTAATATACAACTTCAAAGTGCAAAGTCAAAGTTAAAATAATAAAATCCACATTAATCAGAATTTAAAGTGAAGAACACACCTGTTAATTGTCTGCTTCATGGTTTTACAGGCATAAAACTTCCCATCTTTAAGGTTCTGAGTTTTCAGCACCTCAGAAAAGGTGCCCTCTCCAATTTTCTTGATTATTTTATAACCTGTAGTCATGGTAATAATAAATAATCATGTTAATCCATAACAGTAAAAACACATCATATAGACAGATTCAAATACATACAGTCACCATCTGCCATTATTATGAAACAACAAACAACACAAGTTCAGTTGATGATGTTATTTGGTAAAAACCTCTCATCCTGAGCAAGCATGTGGCAACAGTGGAAAGAAACAACGTCCCTTAGCAGGAAGTGAGTTGAAAGGGTTTAGAAAGCAGACACAATCAATGTGTAATCCATCAATCGATTGACATGTTTTCAGCTCATTGGCTCTGATCAGCAGGTCAAATCCTGAAAAACCTCAATTTAATTGTCCTGTTCATTAAATTAATTAAAAACGATTTAGCTTTTTTTTTTTTTTTTTTTAAGATTTTGGTGAGACAGATATTGTACCTCTGGTCAATTTATTGTTGGTTCTCCAAAGTACTGACAGCAGAGGTGCCAAAAATTTACCACAGGTTATCTAATTTGTCACATTTTGGTACTGAGTCATTCATTCACTACATCCATGATTAGATTTTGCGAAATGTGTTTATTTTGAGGATTTTTACACTTCTTTACCAGGTAAAACAATACATTTGCCCATCTACATCAAATAATTCTTTAAATCTCTGAACTTATGACAAATTTGTTCTGAATGACATGCTCATTTGGTCACTTTGAGGCAGATTTATAAGTTGAAATCTAAATTATTCGTACTGTATTTTATTCATTTTGTTATTATTATTTTTAAAGCGACCTTTCCCACCCAGCTTTATTGCCCCAGTGGAAGGAGGGCGAACACTCACCAAAAATTCATATTCAATTTGAATAAAAACAAAATCAAAACTAGTTTTTGTCGCTTTATCTATGTATTTCTCTTCATCTGCTTCCAATACAGAAACGTGCATTATTTGAAGTAAAAACGAGAAACTTCAAGCAGTTAAATTATGAAAAATAAACCGGTCAGCCTTTTTTTTTTTTTTTTTTTTTCTTACAGTGCATTCCTTTGATTGTGTCCTTGCGCATGTTAGTCGGGTATCAATAGCCAGCGTATCTAGATAGAACATGTCATAAAAACTCTAAAAAAGACGCGGAAATTGTCTGATTGGAGCTAGCTTAGCCCCACTGCTGCGCCCTGTTAGCTGACCGTTGCCTTGGTAACGGAGCACGCCTTCGCCCTCCGCGCTGACCTGAGGAGGAGACGGGAACTCTGACAGGAGGTCTAACCGCCGCAGCAGCCCGGACCCTCGGCTGGAAATATTACACTTTAAAGGCACAATAACCCCCCTCCTGCGGGATAAGCTTTGTTAATCACTGCAGGCCCAGATATTAGACCGAACCGAACCTTTATTCGCGGTCTTACCTTTCCTCCAGAGGTGGCTCGTGACCAGCGCCTCTGACGTTTTCTCATTGGGCTGCAGGTTGTTCAGGGTTTCCACGCCGTAGTTCCGCACACTGTTAATCCAGTCCGTGTCAGGGGTTGTCCTGCACGCATTTCTCAGGCTTGCCCTGTTCTTCACGTCAATGAGCCAGTTGGAGTAGTGCATCATTGGTGCACACAGACAGGTGAAGAGCAGAACATGAGCCCGCTGGTTTACAGGAAGGAAGCGGCTCATTCACTGGATGAATAAAAGCAGCATTACGCTCCCAGACGCCCGGTCATGTCAGGTACAAAGCTTTCTTTCTATTCACCGATGCTGACTGATGCGAGTAAAAGGCGTGGACCATTTCATTTTTGTACCCAATAGGCTTCCGTAAAAATCTCTTAAAGGGTTGGAAGGCGTTAGCGCGTTTGCCATATTGTGAGTGGCAGGTTCTCCTTGGAAACACCAGAGTTGGGTTTTCAGTATAAAATAAACACAAATTTTTGATTCATATTTAAATAAAATATAAATGCCGATTTTAGAATTAATATTGTAATAACTGAGATTAAATGAAACATCATAAACTGTTTAGATTAAAGCAGGGATGTCAAACTCATTTTCATTTCGAGTCGCATCAAGATCATGAATGTCGTCAAAGGGCCGGTTGGTAACACATTGTTTGTTAACAATTTGTTAAAACATTGTAGTTTTTCTGTGATTGGTATTTCTTAAAATGTAACAAGTTTTATCTTTTCACATTGATGTAATTTGGTCCAATATAAATGAAAACAGATTTGACTGATAAAATTATACTTAAGCACACAACTGTTAACGTTTCAGGGTCAACATAACAACATAACAGCCTTCAGGGTCACATAAATAGTTATGGCCTTGAGTTAGACACCTGTGGTTTCAGCCTGAAACCCTTTAATCTTTATTATTATTATTATTATTATTATTATTATTATTATTATTGTGAACCACCATAACACCTGATCTATGTTTTTGGACGTTTCCGCAAATATACCCCTCACCTCACAATATGGCGTCGACGTTGACGCACTGTGCGGTCGCTCGCACCTGTGTGTTTGCGCATGTGCAGAACTCCCTGCATGATTTTCTTGTTGCTGCTTCGGATATGTAACGTTCTCAGTCATTACATTACAAACATAACTTCAACGTGGATCTAACTCACCATGAAAACCAGGTTTACCACCGTGGACATCCGGGCAGTTATTGCCGAGATCAATGCCAAGTAGGTGACGGTTGTTAGCAGGAGCTAATGCTAATTGGCCATCTGCTAACAAGGCTAATGTTGATTTATTTACACATGTTGATCACTCATTCATTTATTTATCGTCTTTCCTTTCCAGCTACATCGGCATGAGAGTGAATAACGTTTATGACATCGACAATAAGACATATCTGATCCGTCTACAAAAGTAAGGACAGCTAGAAAACTCAAGTTTTATGAGCCTTTGCTATAAAGAATATGACACTATTACAGAGATGTCTGCTTTGCTATAATTATTACTTGATATGTTAAGGGTTTCTGATAGTTTATCGTGACAACATCAATACAAATAAAAAGCAACATTTTGTTTCTAATGCTATTGATAAGGGCAAATATTTAACTAAGAATGATCTGATTTTGTCTCATTTCTTTCTCAAGACCAGAACATATAAAAGCTTCTTAATCCAAGAGGATTCATGAATCAAAGCACAAATCTCAAACCTTTAATTGATTTTAAATAAACGCAAAAAGTACATTGTAGCACATTATGTAGATCACCTGTGTCAAAGTTAAGGCCCGGGGGCCAAATCCTGCCCGCCTCAAGTTTTTATGTGGCCACATTAACTTTCATAATACAAGTTGTCTAAATATTATTTTATCAATCAAAGCATTTTTTGTCTGAAATGATAACAATGTGAAAAGATATTAAATATTTAATTTCAAGTAGTCCTCATTAATTGCAGACACAACTATTTATTAATATTTTAACAGTTTAAGGGGAAGTTTTATCACTGTGTTCTGCCACAGCCAGCCATTTGAGCTACATTGATAGTAACGCTCAGTAACAGTGCAACAGGTTGGAGTTTTGTTTAATGTCCGGCATTAGGCCACCATGTTGAGCAGGGTTGACCCCCTGCTGTACTGCTGTTTCAGGCCCGACAGCAAAGCCGTTCTGCTGATAGAGTCCGGGACCCGCTTTCACTCTACGGACTTCGAATGGCCCAAGAACATGATGCCTTCAGGCTTCGCTATGAAAGTAAGAACCTCAACAACCAATTCATGGTTATTAATACCCCTTAAAGTTACAACCACAAACATCAATGTTTTTTATTAACATAAAGTAAAGCATATTATTATTATTAGTAGTAGTAATACGTGACTGTACTATAATTCTTTGTGGGAATTTCAGGAATAAACAAAAAATTGCTAAATAAAAAATCCCCAAAAAACAAAAAAGAAACATGTGTTTGTTATTATATCTCAATTTATAGTATTAGATGTTTTTTTATTTATTTTTTTAGCCAAAGACGTGTAAAGCTGTTAGAAACACCTGCAGCTGTTGACTCAGGGTTGAAACTATTTCCTTCTCATTATTAATCATTCATTCAAGTTGTTCAGTAAAATCCACTGAAGTTTGTAACATCCAAACATTAACTCAATGCAGCTGCGTTTGTGTTTTTATTTTTCCGTCTTTGAGTGAGTTTGGATATTTAATGTCATTATTTTCCACATTTGATCGTTTTTTCCTTCACTGAGTTGAATCTGAAAATAGAAGCAGCTGTTTTTGCTCCGTAGTGTCGGAAGCATCTGAAAGGCCGGCGGCTGACTCAGGTCAAGCAGCTGGGAATCGACAGGATCGTCGACATCCAGTTCGGTTCCGACGAAGCCGCCTACCACCTGATCGTCGAACTCTACGACAGGGTCAGAACAGTTTCAGAACCACGACAGGTGTGGTGCTGGTACCGAACACGCTGACCCGGCTGTTTGTCCACCAGGGTAACATCATCCTGGCGGATCATGAGTACACCATCCTGAACCTGCTGAGGTTTCGCACCGCCGAGGCCGAAGACGTTAAGATAGCGGTGAGGGAGCGGTACCCGGTGGAGAGCGCCCGGCCGCCAGAACCGCTCATCACTCTGGACAGGTAGCGCCAGTCATAAACATCCCATAATCCACTGAGCCGTAACCAATGGAAACGCGTCTGAATGTCCTACAGGCTGTCAGAAATCCTGAGCAAAGCTCAACATGGAGAACAGGTGAAGAAAGTCCTGAACCCTCATCTGCGTGAGTATTCGTCCAAATCATGGTGTCTTAAGCTTCTAGAGACTCATTCAGTAATTATTTATGGAAACTTTCAGTTGGAACCAGATATTTACATACTCTGCATTAAAACACAAACAGTTCTCATTTTCCAATAATCTAAACTGGGGTTGAAAGTTACGGTAGCTAATTTTCCTGGATGATAAATTGTCCCATAAATGATAATGTTGTTATGAGACTTTTTTCAAGTAATGTTACGGTACTGATATAATAATCGCAGTACACATTAGAAATTAAAGGCTAATAAACTTTAATTTCAATCACCAGGCTGAAGAATTTTGTTTTCCAGGTTTGGTTAAAAAAAAAAAGAGAAAAACAAACTATTATATAAATGAAAATAATCAAACTCGTTTAATTTTCAATGCGATTAATCGATTTTTTACTTATTGATTAATTTAGAAAACAATCAATCAATCGTTAACTGGAGAATACGAAATAAATTTTTTTGTAAAAGAGCAACAAACTCAAACTGTAGAAATAGTACATACAAGAAAAGGCTTAAAAATCTGCAGAATTGGCAATTTTAAAATCTAATTAATCAAAAAAAAATAAAAATCAATGACTAAAATAATCATTATCTGCAGCCTTAGACTAAACTTCCAGTTTTAGGTCAGTTATGATTATTTAGCTAAATGTTCCAATAGAGAGAAACAAATATTGTTTTTATTAATGTTTTAGTCGTGAAACATGACATTACGTTACAGATTCTTCAGATTGAGGCTGAGCTTTAATGCTAATCTAAATTCATGACTTTATTCTCCCATCCTGAAGGAAAAAGAGTTTTATTCAGCTGTAAATCTGTTAATTATTTAACAGAATAAGTCATTTTCCCTCCAGCCTACGGAGCCACTCTGATTGAACACAGTTTGATGGAAGCTGGCCTGCCAGGCTCCTTAAAAGTCGACAGTCAGGCCGACGTCGCTGAAGGTACGCCGGGCCAGTAGGAACTTTCCATCTGCTTTTTTCCTTCCATCAAATTTTCCTTCCATCACATCAGTGAACAAGCTGCGTTTTATTTCATTTGTTTCTCAGTTGCTCCTAAAATCCTGGACGCTCTGCAGCTCGCTGAGACGTACATGGACAAAACGGAGAAATTCAGCGGAAAAGTGAGTAAAAAATAACGTCCTGCTGAGAGTCTGTCTATTTTCAGCATAATCAGCAGATTTTTGCTAGAATATTTTTATTCTGACTGAAATACGTTTTTATTGTTCCTTTTATCAGTTTATGTTTGGGTTCAAGTTAGTGTATATTTAAAGACATAACTTTGATTTTTTTTAAATAAACACAAATATCTAATTAATCAGAAATCTTCTGACCCTCCTGCAGGACTGGTGCGACCCTCCAATGGGTTGCCACCCCCATGTTGAAGACCTTTGTTTAAAGCATTTTATTGTAGCTCACATTTTGATTTGTTATTAAAATGTATGTCCCACTTTGTGTTGGTCTGTCTCATGAATAAATAAATATTGTAACCTCATGAAATGTGAAAAGTTTCAGTGTACTTCTTAGTTTCATATTTTCCATTCATACAGTTTTTCTGCTGTATTTAGGGTTTCATCATTCAGAAGAGGGAGAAGAAACCCAGCTTGGCTCCTGGGAAACCCGGTGAAGATCTCCTGACGTACGTTTCCTCCCTGCTGGTCGCTTTCCTTCAGTTCGCTCCAGTAACGTTTTCCCCTCTCAGGTACGACGAGTTCCACCCGTTCCTCTTCGCCCAGCACACCAACAGCCCCCATCTGGAGTTTGAGACGTTCGACAAGGCCGGTATCACCTGATCGATAACTTCCTGCCGTGAAGAGAGAACGCTGACAGAAGTCGTTTGTCTGCAGGCGGTGGATGAGTTTTTTTCCAAGATGGAGAGCCAGAAGATCGACATGAAGGCCCTGCAGCAGGAGAAGCAGGCTCTGAAGAAGCTGGAGAACGTGAAGAAGGACCATGAGCAGCGGCTGGAGGCTCTGCACCAAGCGCAGGTAAAACAGGCTCCTCTCAGGCCAGGGGTGTACAAACTTTATGCAACAGGAACCACAGCTGTAAAGCTAAGAGAAGTCAACAATTCTAAAAGCCAACTAAAAGCTGAATATTTTAATGAAAACAAATGTCCTGCTTTCTGTATAAAAAGCATTTAAATGTCAGTTTGGATGATTTTTATGTCAGGGGTGTCCAAACTTTTCCCCAAAGAGCATTAAGCTCTGGCCAGGAACCAAACCCAAAGACAACTCTGTGAAACATGTAAAAAAACATCCAACTTATTCAATGTTATTTTTTCACTAATTACATTCGTTTAACATAACTTCTGCCTCAAACCGCCTGATTTCAGACGGCCAAAATTTTATTATTAAATATTATGTTTAATGATAACCAGATAATAAAGATATTTAATATTTCATATGACTCACATCAGATTTTATTTTATTCCCACAGTTTTCATGGTTTTTTGGTCGTTTTCTTGTCAGAAACCTTTTCATTTTTTGCTTTGATGAATTTGATTGTCAGTCTATCAGAAAAACATTGAAATAAATCATTTTAACTTATATTTTATTTAAAAAAGACTGAATAACAGAAAAGAAAAATTATGAAGAATGTAAGAATTGAAGACTTTTTTTTATTTTTGCGTTTTATTTTTCTGATTTTTTCCTCCAACCTTTTGAGGCCCCCACAGCGCCCTCTACAGGCCCCACTTAGAAAAACAATGTGTTCTTTTAAACAAATCTGTTTAAAAACAAAAACTCTTATCTAGAGTTATGGATGTTTGTGGTAGTATGTACTCTTAGATTAAAATGAAAGCAGAAAATGGGACAAATTCTACTCTACATATCCAATAACGGCCACATGGAATCATTCCGAGGGCCTCAAACGGCCCCCGGGCCTCACTTTGGACACCCCTGTTTTAGTCTGTAATGTGTGGCGGATGGATTCAGCTGAATGTGTGTGACAGGAAGTGGACAGAGCGAAGGGCGAGCTGGTGGAGATGAACCTGGCGGTGGTGGAGCGGGCGCTGCAGGTGGTGCGCAGCGCGCTGGCTAATCAGGTGGACTGGACGGAAATCGGCGCCATTGTGAAGGAAGCGCAGGCGTCTGGCGACCCGGTGGCCTGCGCCATCAAGGAGCTGAAGCTGCAAACCAACCACATCACCATGCTGCTGAAGTACGCTGCTGCAGATCTGCAGACCAACACCCGCTTTACAGGAACGCACTTACCTCCGCCGTCATTTCCACAGAAATCCCTACGTTTCTGATGAAGAGCAGGAGGAAGAGGAGGAGAAGATCAGAGTGGAGGAGAAAGGAAAGAAAAACAAGAATAAAGGGCAGAACAGGAAGCTGCAGAGGAACAAGCCGATGCTGGTGGATGTGGATCTGGGCCTGTCGGCGTACGCCAACGCCAAGAGGTTCATCTGGAGCAAACAGCTCAGAAGATTCAGGATTTATGATTAAAATCCTTAAAATCCTTCAGCTGGATGAAGTTTTATTGTTACTTTCAGATACTACGACCACAAACGCAGCGCTGAGAAAAAGGAGCAGAAAACCATCGAAGCTGCAGGCAAGGTGGGGAAGCTGCTAATAAAACTATGATTTAATCTGTACTCGTATTTACTCTGACCTTCGACCCTTTTAAATTGTTCAGGCCATGAAATCTGCAGAGAAGAAAACGCAGCAAACCCTGAAGGAAGTCCAGACTGTCACCACCATCCAGAAAGCCCGCAAGGTCTACTGGTGGGTCGACGAGTTCTGGGAACATTTCACATGAGCAACGACACGGAGCGCAGCAGGAAAATCATAAATACACTTTAAAAGTTTTTATGAATAAAATCAGAGACGTTTGCATTTATTTATAAGTATTAAAGACAGGCTAGAAATTATTATTATTGTTCTGAACCTGGCTCGCAGTAATACGAGAGAAAAATCTGAATAATATGAGAAATCAATCAATCAATCAATCAATCAGTAGAATATATTAACATAAAAATATGAGATATTGTACAATAGTCATGACACTAGGAAAGTCATTACTAGAATAAAGTCGCATTATTACGAGTAGTTATACGACAATAAAGTTGTAATAATATAAAAATAATGTCAAAATATTACCAGAACTAAGTCTTTATATATGAATGAAGTAATAGTACAATATTAAAGTATGAAAAATATGTGAATAAAGTTATTACCAGTATAAAATTGTAAAAACATGAGAATAAAGTCATAATATTTGAATAAAGTCGTAGTAATAAAAGGTGCGTTTCTTTCCTTCCCCTTCCCCGTTGGTCGATCACATTAGATCCCAGAAAAGCCCTGAAGGTTTCTGGATGTGAAACGTTAAAGCGTGAACATTCTGGAGAAACTCGATCAACCGGCCGTTTTCCTCCGTTCCTCAGGTTCGAGAAGTTCCTGTGGTTCATCAGCTCTGAGAACTACCTGGTGATCGCAGGGAGGGACCAGCAGCAGAACGAGATGATCGTCAAGCGCTACCTTCGCTCAGGTGAGGCCGCCTGCCGGGGCGTCTGCCTGACCTCTGTCCTCTGACCTCTGACCTCCTCTCCTGCAGGTGACATCTACGTCCACGCTGATCTGCATGGAGCGACCAGCTGCGTCATCAAGAACCCGTCAGGTTCTGTCTGCCGGCCCGTCTCCTCGGCTCAGTTTTCTTCTTCTTGTTTTTAGCCGAAGCATCTTCATCGCTTCTCCTCCTCTTCCTCAGGCGATGCCGTTCCTCCCAGGACGCTGACCGAAGCCGCCACCATGGCCGTCTGCTACAGCGCTGCCTGGGATGCCAAGATTATCACCAGCGCCTGGTGGGTCCACCACCATCAGGTTAGTCGATTCTCACCCAGAAAATAACGACTTTATGCTTCAGAATCCTGTAAAAGCTGCAGTTACTGAAGGTTTTCCTTCCACTCAACTTTCCACTAACACAGTTTGTAAACCTTGTTAGCAGGTTGCTAACTTGTCACCTCTCAAGTAAACAGTTTATTATTAATTATGTAGAGCAGAGGTCTTCAAGGTGGGGGTCTGCAGGGGTCATGAGATATATTTTTAAAAATTCAAAATTGTCTTTAAATATTATGACAGAGTATTAGGGCCATAACAATAAAAAATATATTACAAAAATAAAACCGTAATGCTACAAAAAAGTTGTACAAGAATTTAAAATTATGAGTATAAACTGCTTTGAGAATAAAGTCATAGTAACACACACACACACACATATATATATATATATATATATATATATATATATATATATATATATATATATTTATTTATTTATTTAAGAATAAACTCACAAAATTATGAAAATAAAGTCATACTGACTTTATTCTCATTGTTTTAAAAGGCAGCCATGCCTCATCTCTGTATTCAAACTTTAAACTAAAAATGTGAAATAAAGAAAAGACCCCTGCTGTTGAAGATAATAAAAAATAAAAAATATTTTATTATTGTTTTTTTATATATATATCTGTAAGCATGTAAATTAATGGAAATAAACCCAGAAATTGGCTGCAGTTTAGAAATTAAAATAAAAACATTTTTAATTTTCCTAAAACATTAAAAACAAAAATGATATTGGTAAAAAATGAAATGTAAAGTGTGTGTTTTTCAGGTGTCTAAGACGGCTCCCACTGGAGAGTATCTGACCACTGGAAGCTTCATGATCAGAGGTACGAGCCTTCATCACTTCCTGTCCATAATACCATCACTTCCTGTTTGCTACAATGAGCAGCAAATACATTTACCTGGAAATATTTATTTGCTTTTTTTCTAATTTTTGCTGTTCAGGAAAGAAAAACTTCCTTCCTCCGTCCTACCTGATCATGGGCTTTGGCTTCCTGTTTAAGGTAAGCGAGCGCTGGGGTCACCTGGGGTCACACGGGGTCACACAGGGTCACACGGAGTTGCCTGGGGTCACGCGGGGTCACACAGGGTCACGTGGAGTCGCCTGGGGTCACGCGGGGTCACACAGGGTCACGTGGAGTCGCCTGGGGTCACGCAGGTTCTTTCCGGTTCCCACCTGCTCCTCTGATTGGCTGACAGGTGGATGAGCAGAGCGTGTTTCGGCACCGCGGCGAGCGAAAGGTGAAAACGGTGGAGGAAGACCTGGAGGAAGTGACATCGAGAGCTGCTGAGCTGCTGGAGGAAGGGGAGGAGCTTATCGGTACCAAGACGAATGTTTCAGATCAAAACTCATTTTATTATCAGATAAACTGGTAATATAAAAATCAGTTTTTAAATGACAATTTCACTTATAAAGAGAGATTTTTTTTAACTTGGTTTTGATCCAAATTTCAAACGTTTTTAATGATTTATGTCGCTTTTGAAAAGCTGCTGGACTCGTTTCCTCCTCGTTTCCTAGGAGACGACAGCAGTAATGAAGACCAGGGCAGAGCAGCAGACGAGGCGGAGAACCATAAAGAAGCAGAAATGGCCGCCGCCGCGCAGCCGGGCGACATGGAGGACGACGGGAACGACGAAGACAGCGGCGTGGAAGACGAGACGAAGAGCGACCAGTTCAGCTTTCCAGACACCTCCATCTCCCTCTCCCACTTACAGCCAATCAGGTAGCGTCTCCGTCCAAACAGGAAGTTCTCCTTTCTTCCTGCATGAACGCGAAGGAAACAACAAATCGTTCTTCCTCGTTTCTAGGATGGCTCACAATCCCAGCTTCAAGAACGAAACGACGACTCAGGCAGATATCTGCACCTTTTCCTCTCCTCCAGGTGTTTTATCGGGTTATTTTATTTAATTCCTGATGTTTTGTTCCTTCAGGTTGAGGCGGATTCACAAGGGAAGAAACACATGAGCGCCAGGCAGAGGAGGTGAGCTCAGTTTGTATTTAAGATAAAAAAGCTTAAATCTGTTCTATCCAGAGTTAATGAACCTGTTCAGGTTTGGAAATGTGCATAAAAATGCCAGATTATTTCAGAAATACCTCTGGGTTTTTATCACGTCTCAAACGTGTATATGTGTAATTTAATATCTGGACAAAATAATTAAATATTAATTAGGTTATTTTAACTCATTAATTAGCTTTTCTAAACCTTGACAAAAACAAACAGTAAAAATCTGAAAACATATTTTCACTCCAAACTTTTTCTTTATGTAGATTCATGAGTTGGAATGGCCTAGTCAAAGTAACAACCTCAAAAGATGTCGAGTGGGTGTATTTTCTTATGAAGAATGTGCAAAAGTTTCAGTTTGCAGCAAAAGGAGGTTCTACGACATATTTATAACATTCAGAGGGAAAAGCAGGAGATTTCTGTTTGAAACTAAAACCATTTATCATTTCCTTCTTTTTCTTTATCACCATAAACTTTGTTTTGGTCTGTCATGCACTGCAAAAACACAAAATCTTACCAAGTATTTTTGGTTTCATTTAGTAATATTTTAGTGCACTTGAAATAAGACAAAACTAACTAATAACTAACTTTTCTGCAAAAATTAGGAACTTGTTTTAAATCTATAAATCCTTAACACTGATTATAACAAGGCAAAAATTACAAGTGAAAAAATCCTCATTCTTTCATTATTGTAAGGATTTATTTATTTAAAACAAGCTTTGATGTTTTGCTGAGAAGTTACTTGGTTAGTTTTGTTTTATTTCAAGTGAACTAGACACTAAACTCTTGATTTTGTATTTTTGCATCGTAAAACTTAAAAATATATATTTTTGTGATGGGAAAACGTGTGGGAAGCTCAAAGAAGGAATTGATTTATTATTAACAATGATTAATTTAACGATGCTCAGAAGGTTTTGCCTCTTTTTTTTTAGAGAGGAGAAGAAGAAGAAGCAGAAACAGGAAGATTGTGACGGCGAGGAGAAGTCGGAGGTTTCCTCTGTGGATCTGGGGTCAAAAGGTGGAGGAGGCTCTTCTCAGCAGCCACTGAAGAGAGGCCAGAAGGTGAGACAAACACCGAACCAGAACCAGAACCAGCACCAGAACCGCTCAGGTGGAAAATCAAATATTCCTGCTGCTGGGACAGAACAAGCTGAAGAAGATCAAGGAGAAGTACAAGGACCAGGATGAAGAGGACCGGGAGCTGATGATGCAGCTGCTCGGGGTGAGGAAGGTCGTCCGTGTGCCGCCGCCCCAACGCGGCCCAGATGCTAACGCCCGACCCGTTTCTGCCCTGCAGTCTGCCGGGGCAGCCAAGGAGGAGAAGGACAGAGGGAAGAAAGGAAGGAAGGGCAAGGGAAAGGAGGAGCCTGGCAGGAAACCACAGCTGAAACCTCGAAACATGGCCGCCGACGAGAAGAAACCTCAGCAGGAAGGAGGAAGAGGAGAGGAAGAGGAGGAAGAGGAGAAGCCGGCTGGAGAGCAGCAGCAGGAGGAGAAGGTAGAAAACACAAATGACAAAAAATATTAACTTCTGTGATCTGTACATCAGCATGAGGGATAATTCAGATAATTTCTGTTTAATTACGAGAAAAAAGTCACAATATTAGCAGAATAAAGAAACAGCTTAAATTTAAGAGAAAAATATGTTTTAATGTGAAAAAGGCTGTAACATGACTAACATGGCCGCTCAGTCAGTGTAGAGTATCGTTTCAAAGTTCTGCTGTTTATAATCATTTGATGGAAATGGATTTAAATCAGAAATCTGACCTGGTAAACAAATATTGATAAAATAAAATCATAATATTATGACTTCATTCTTCTAATAGGACTTAATTTGTTTTTAATATTGTGGCTTTATTCTTATAATTAAAAAACTATTTCAGCCTGGCTCTAGTATTTTGTTGATCTGAATTCGAAGTCCAAAAAAACACAAACTGTGAAACGTTTCTCAAACAAGATGGCCGCCTCTCTATGGAAACACCAAAACTCTAGATTGTCCTAAAATTAAATCTCTGGAAACCAAAAATTTGACTAATGGATGATCAATTTATCAGCCAGCTCTAACAGAATGTGGGTTTAGTTGCTTCCTGACTCAGCAGTGATGTAATTTCCTGCAGGAAGACGAGGCGGACCAGGACAACGCCGGAGCGGAGGTGAGCTTCCTGCCTCAGGTGAGTAAACGCCGCTAGTCGGAGCTTCATCCTCTCGGCTTCCTGTCTCCCGGCGACAGGAAGCAGAAAACCTGCTGACGTCTCTGAGCGGCCAGCCGCACCCCGACGACGTCCTGCTGTTCGCTGTCCCCGTCTGCGCCCCCTACACCGCCCTGTCCAACTATAAGTAGGTGTCCAAACTGTCCAAGCCGTCCTCAGAGCTACGGCCTCGGTGTGATGGTGCTTCTGTTGTCCGCAGACACAAAGTGAAGCTGACTCCAGGCTCTCAGAAGAAAGGAAAAGGTAGAAACGATTCCGGATGATTCCTGCAGGTCGAGGCTCAGTGCTGACGTTACGTTTTCTGTTTTCAAGCGGCTCGGACGGCGGTGCTCAGCTTCATCAAGGCTAAAGACGCTTCAGCCCGGGAGAAGGACCTGTTCCGCAGCGTCAAGGTAAAAATATTCACACCCAAAACGCCAGCAGGAAGGAAAACCTCACAGATATGTAACCTCACATTTTTTCAATTTAAATCTGTTAGATCTGTTAAAAGTTTTTCTTCACATATAAGATTCATATTTCTACACGTTTTTTACATGTTTTTAAAATTTATTCAGCAAATATATACATTTAACTAGATGTTTTATATTTATTGAATAATTTATTGTAGGTATATAAATATCTAACATTTTATGTTTGTATTTTTGTTAAATCATGTAACAAATTTTTATTATAAAGAGAACTGAGTTTATTTTAAAATGTGATTAACACTGAGAACCAGAATCTGTTGTTAAACCCTGGTTCTGTTCTGAAGGTCCAACCCGTTACAGCTGAGCCGCTTGGTGGTTAAAATCTGCACCTTCTTGGTCCCTTTATGCATCAATAGTGTAGCTTTAAACACACTGGGTCAGTGGTTCTGTTGGTCCGGGTCTCAGTCTGTCCGGTTCTGTTGGTCCGGGTCTCAGTCTGTCCGGTTCTGTTTCAGGACGCGGACCTCTCCAGGAACATGCCAGGGAAGGTGAAGGTGTCGGCACCAAACCTGCTGGCTGCCAAGAGGAAGTGAACCCGTCCAGATCCTGGCCGCTCCGCTGAGGGGTTAGGAGCTTCAATTGTAAAGATTGTTCTGATTCCATTTACAAAAATATTAGGAATAAAATAAAAATCTGACTCGATTTGTATTTTTCATTTTATTTGGATACAATCTTGCATTACCAACAATTACAGGAGGTAATTTTGTGCAAACGAAGCCAAACTGACAGCGTCGTTTCAGTGCAACGAGATCAGAGGAGCCATTTTATTTACAGCTGTACAGACGGATCAGAACCAGCAGGTGGTTTCTGGTTCCACCGGATCGAGAACTGCAGCAGAATTACCTGAAGCCAGGTAACCTGCTGCTAAATAATCCCAGCCTTTCTGCTCAGATGGGACATTTTTAGTGTTCAAACAAAATGGACATTTAAAAACAGACCTCTAGATTTTTATTTTACATTTGCATGAAGCTAACTTAAAGATGTACACACATTTCAGTGGTTTTCTTAGAGTTCCTGTTCGAGTTGAGAAGGAAGCAGAGGAGACCTTTCCGAGTCAGCAGAAGCCAAAAAGCTCACAGGTTTGGATTTAAAGGGTTCTGGAAGCTTCAAAATATTCATTTGTACCTTCTGACGTTTAAAATCCAGAAGAAATGATGGCTTTATGACTGCAGAGGAGTACAACCAAGTATTGGTGCAAGGATAAGAAAAATATTGAAGTTATGAGCAAAAAGTTGACATTAGAAAAATATATGGAAATTCATACGAGAATAAAGTCATAATGTTACAAGATTTAAGTAATGAGAAAAAAGCCAATGAGTCAAAATAATGGGAATAAACTAGCAATTTTATAACTTCAACACAAAAAAATAAATTAAGATGAAGAATACTGAGCATCTTGTGAAGTTATACTTTATCGGTTTTACAAATAAAGAAAAAAGTTCATCTTTTATCAGTAGCAGAACTTTGAAACGATTGAAAACTAGAATCACAAACTGATCTGGACAACAAACCTTTTTCAATCTTTTTCTAGTAATTTTATGACTTTCTTCTGGTAATCTTATAACTTTACCGTCGTAATTAAAAAAAAAAAATCTTAGTCTGGCCCTAATAGTCAGCTGCATGTGGAGTTATTTCTTCTAGACCATTTTGGTCAAATGAAAAGCTGACCTCAGAACCAGAACCATATCTGAACTTTAACCCTCTTAAGACCATAAT